TTGTGAAAGATGAATACTCCCATTCAGAAAATAAATAAATTCCTTTATTATAGCAGACTGTGTGAATAAAAATAGGTTCTTCCCTCAAGGAACTCAATTGGTGGGAAAGGACAGGCGTATGAATGTGATGACTGGTTATATGAAGGACTAATAGAAGGCAAAACCAAACCCCTTGCCATCAAGTCAATTCCAACTCATAGCAATCCTATAGGACAGACTAGAACTGCCCCACAGGGTTTCCAAGGAGTGGCTGGTGGATTTGAACTGCCAGCCTCTTGGTTAGCAGCCAAGCTCTTAACCACTGTGCCATCAGTGCTCCAGTAGAAGGCAAAGAATCCATTAATTTTGAAGTAAAAAATGTAGACACCTTAAGACTATTTTCTTGCACATTATGTAAGACATAAAATGTAGTATCTTATGACTTGTTTATAGAATTAAATGATATTAATTAAATTATTGAAAAAGACAATATATAGGTCTATAAATGAGCAGACCTTTGCATATTTGTTGATTATTGAGAATAAGGTTGTGGTTAAGCAATGGAATGCACATCCAAATTAAACTTACCACAGGTTTAATCAAGTCACTTTATAAAATGTTAAGGAAATTAAGATTTCACTGAATACAAAGTACTATCAGAAGAAATACATAAAACTTCAAAGTATACATATATAGAAAAGCAGTGTAATATGCTTTTTTTTTTTGTTAAGGGCTTCATGATTCAGACTGGAGATCCAACAGGTACTGGTATGGGAGGAGAAAGCATATGGGGAGGAGAGTTTGAAGATGAATTTCATACAACATTACGGCATGACAGACCATATACACTCAGCATGGCCAATGCTGGATCAAATACTAACGGATCCCAGTTTTTCATAACAGTAGTACCAACGGTAAGTACAACAGCACTTTAACCCAGGGATCCATAGGCTATGATCTAACAGAGTGAATTTAGTGGAAGAGAGCTGCATTATTCTCTGCCATTATTTATATATGCCAGGATATAAAAATGAAAATTTAGAGAGAAAAATGTAAAATTACCCAACAAATCCAGTTTTACTTGGCAAAACAGTACTTTCAAATAGAAGGAAGTACAATGGACTCTGTGATTCACGATATTTAAGTTTCAACTCTGCCACTACTGATTGTTCAATCTGAAACAAATTATATGAAATAAATTATTTCACATCTCTGGACCTATTGTCTCTCTTCAGAATGGAGTGATTAGAGTGTATGAATTCCTGATTTCAAAACTTTTTCCACATTTTTATATCTCTGAAATCAGAATATCTCATAATGGCATTTTAAATTTGAGGAAATACTGTATAAAATCATCTAGCTCTATTGCTATGCAGTTCCACAAAATGACAAAAATTACATTATTTTTTTAAATTAAGCACCAAGCATTGAAGAAGGGAGAGAGATTTATTACACATGCCAGGTACATAGTCTCATTTAATATTCACAATACTTTGGTATCACTATACCCAGTTTTAAATAATAGATGAGGAGACCAAGGCTTCCAATTAGTTCATTCTGGTTCGAACCCCTGCTGAGAATTTGCCATTTCCACCCCCAGATATACTGAATCAGAATCTACAGTTTAACAAGATCCCCAGGTGATTCTTACGTATAATGATTTTGAAAACCAGTGCTCTACTAGTGGTTCTCAGAATTGGTCCCTAACCAGCAGCATTAGTAGCTCATGAGGAACTTGTTAGAAATGCAGATTCTCAGCAGGGGTTCGAACCTGAACGAACCAGTTTGAAGCCCTGGAGGAAACAGTGGGACATGTTTAATTCCTAAAAGGCCAGGTAGCAGAGCCAGTATTTGACCTCCCATCTATCTAACGCCAAAGCACATGCTGCTTATTAAACTATTCCATATTGCCTCTTAGTTGTTCAGGTAAGGTTCTTGCAGAAAACTTTTAAAGCCTGAGCCATAAGTCTTTAAGCTATGCAAAGTAACTTTTCTTTAGCAAACTTCTTCCAGCTCCCTTTGGTCTGAAGGATGCAGATTTTTAATGAAATGTTATTATACTTTTATTTCTTTTTATTTAAACATGGAAATTGATTTAAAAGCTAAGTGAAATTATTGTACTTCTTTTTAACTATATACCAAAATGAAGCATAAATTTAAAATCTCTTTAATTTGCTCACCCAGAGGGTGTGATTTAAGAAATATAGGTTTACCAAGATTTTCCGTTTCTCCTCCAACACAGCCTTGGCTTGATAATAAGCACACAGTATTTGGACGAGTGACTAAAGGAATGGAAGTTGTGCAAAGGATCTCCAACGTCAAAGTCAATCCCAAAACAGATAAACCCTATGAGGATGTCAGCATCATAAATATTACCATCAAGTAAAATAAGATATGCTTCACTGTATTTGTAAATTAAAATAATACGTATATTAAACATAGAACATTAAGAAGTTCTAAGACTTGCTAAACATACTAATCATGTTTCAAGGATGCAATATTTTTATATTTTTCATTAAAGGCCATTTTTTTAAAACTCTGCCTTTGATTTTCTTACAGTATTTCTCATCCAGGAGGCGATAAATTGAAATGGACTAAACGCAGGCAAAAAGCACTCCTTATAGATAATTTCTGATGAGACTCAGAACCATATTAAATTATCATAGTGGTATGCATTTGTTTCCTTACTTTTTAAAAAACCTGCCAGATAATCTGCTCTCATGTGTTTCCTTAGCTCCACAAAGAAAAGGTCCTAGGATCTAATATCATATACCATTTCTTTTCTTTTGCAAGGTTTGTATTTTATGCCAATTAGTTTTGTCTTTCTTTTGAGCATTGTTAAGTAGTAAGACGTGGTTAAGTAAAGCTTCAGTAAGTAAAAAGGAAGTCCCCTTTGGTCAAAAGTGTTAAATTCCTCAATAATTATAAAATAGTCTTTCAAATACGAGAATCAGAATAAATGAATATCTGCTTCATTGGTTTTGTATGTAAGTTTGTTTACTATTTTCACATTCCTTTTCCATTATACCTAAACAGTTGTTTTCTGTCCTCAAAGTATAGCATGTCTTTTCTTACCTTAGTCAATATCCCATGGTATAATACACCTTCAAGAAAGTATACACTGACTAAAAATTATAGCATCTGTCTTAGTTATCTAGTGCTGCTGTAACAGAAATACCACAAGAGGGTGGCTTTAAACAAACAAATTTATTTTCTCACAGTATAGGAGCCTAGAAGTCCAAAATTCAGGGCACTGGCCCTACAGAAAGGCTTTCTCTCCCTATCGGCTCTGAAGGAAGGTTCTTGTCTCTTCTGAGCTTCTGCTCCTAGGCAGTCTTCATGTGGCTTGGCATCTCTCTTCTCCCATTTCTGCTTCTCTTGCTTGCTTGTTTAATCTTTTTTATATCTCAAAAGAGACTGATTTAGGACACACCGTACACTAATCCTATCATTACCATAACAAAGACAACTCATTCCCAAATGGTATTAAAACCACGGGCATAGAAGTTAGGATTTATTGTTGTTAGATGCCATGAAGTTGGTTCCAACTCAGTGACCCTGTGTACAACAGAACAAAACACTGCCTGGTCCCTTGCTATTCTCACAACTGTTGCTATGTTTGAGCCCACTGTTGCAGCCACTTTGTCAACACATATTTTTTGGGGACACAATTCAATCCATAACAGCATCTAATAATAAGAGGTTTAATAGAAACCGGAGCTGTAAAACAGTATGAGTTCTAAGTCTTGTATTAATTTCATTTCTTCACTTACTCTTATTTCAGAACTACTAAAAACAACTGCTAGTTTCCAGACAGACTGTTCAAGAAACTTACAAAAATGTTCAGCAGACCTATTTAGAGAATTCACCTTCTTATGCTTTAAGCTTATACTTTTTCTTCTATTGATCTGCAGGATCATTTCCTTTATTCATTTTATACCACAAACTCTTGTAAATGGGAAAATACACCAATTTACGCTATCTGAAACTAGTATCATACTTCCTTTTTAAAAGTAGAACAAAGTTGGACGTAAAAAGACTTCTCACTATGACATTTACCTTTTCTTCTTAATTTTAGGTGTTTAGACTTACCTACTTAGCAATTTATTCATGCCTGAAAGCTTAAAATCGTAAATTTTTGGTAATGCTGCCACCAGGTGGTGGTGATACCTTACTCCCCAAAAATTACGGTAATATTTTTGCTTTGAGTGAAAATCACATTTCACTCATGAACTTTTCCATTGCATGTCAAAAATTTAACAGAATCACTAGACCTAAAAACATTCATTGACAGATGTCTTTTTTAAAGCATGTTTAAAATTATTAGCAACATACAATCTGATACTCATTAATCCTTTTCATTCTTTATTCTTTTTTGAGCACAACTGTTACCAATTTGCAAACTGAGAAATAGCCCAATGTAACATTAAAAACCTTTCTCTTAACAATATTAGTTCATAGGCTATAACTAAGTTTTCAAAGTTATTTTCTAAATCATTTAAAATGCTATGTTCTCATGAAATAAATTAAAAAATTTAAAAGCAATAGTGTTACTTTGTTCAGTGCAAAAAATGTTACTTCCCCAAACACTACAGTTGGACGCATTTAAATGTGACTTAAATTGCAAATACAGGATAGGTTATTTCCGAATCTTTGCTTTATCAAATAAACTACATCTTAAATTTGACATGAAAGTCAATCCCCCCCTTCATTTTATTTTATTGTTCTCTTAACGACAGCACAAATATGACTTAAATTGGTTACTAGCAATAATACTGGATATATGGTTCAAGAAACAATTTCTTCTAATGATAGGCCTTTAAAATGATCTTAACATTTTACTGCTAGGGTCACTATAAGTCGTTATCGACTCGAGGGCAGAGGGTATTTTTTGGTTTATATTGATCATGGGGCCCTGGTAGCACAGTGGTTAAGCATTTAGCTGCTAACCAAAAGGTCAACCACCACCAGCTGCTCCTTGGAAACCTTACATGGGGCAGTTCTACCCACCTATAGGGTCGCTATGAGTCAGAATTAACAACTTGATGGCAGTGGGTCTTTTTTTTGGTTTTACACTGATCATATATTTATGTAATGTAAATAATGGCTTCTGCTGGCTATAAAGTATTCCTGAACTATAGCCCAGGGCTAAACACTTGTCAAACTTGCTCTACATAAACCATATTAATAAAATTTAGGCTTAATACAGAAATTCAGAGCTAGGAAGCAAATTTTATTATATTGCATTTAAAACCTCTTGTTCTTTAACTTGTTACTTCCCAGGGGAACCTAGCACATTCTTGTGTAATGATTAATGAAAGAATACAACCACAAATAGTAATAGGAATCTGAAAAAAAAATTAAAAAATCACATAAACGCTACCATTACATACTGTACAATCAAGTTCAAGCGTAGGTAAGCACATTATTTAACTTGTATTCAGCAATATACTAAGAATATGAATTACAAAGTTAAGCAAAATGGGTGAAATAAACTTAATAATTTACAAGAAAACCAAGTTCGTATGTTAGTGTTACGCTTTTTTTTCCCCAATCACCTAGTAAAGAGAACAGTCCAAGGGCTCACAGGCAAATGCAACAACTTTATTTTTCACAGTTACTGTAATCAGTCAAATATTAAATAATTTAACTCAGAAGTATTACTTACGCACACAAATGACACTTGTCAACAGCATGACCTTGCACGTGAAAAATAAAGGATGAAATATTTACATATTTACACACTGCCCATAACATGGATGGGCTCTTTTTTTTAATGCTTTGTTTGCTAAAAGTTTTGGTTTTAAACAAACACAATATATTTGAAAAGACTGAACTGAAACGTCGTGCCACCTAAAGGCCACATCTTTTCATCAAATATCTCTGTCCTTAAGACAGTTAAATTAATAAGATTTAAGGTTCAACTTCATCCTAAAATATGAAGAGTATTAAAAAAACATGTAATCTCAAAATCATGCTTCCATCATAAAGGAGTAACCTTAAAAACTGAAAAACAGTACAGAGCACAAAATTTTTAAACTTTAGAACACTGCATAATACATGTGATGTAAACTTTCTGAACATCTCTTCCTTTCCTTATTTAGATATTTTATTCCTCAATATTTTTCCAAGGCCTTGTTAAGAAGAGCTTTGTTCATATCTTATAGTCAAGAAAAATGTGCTTATTTTTGGTAAAATATGTTGAAGTAATTAATGTAATAAGCATTTCCCACTGTTTAAACAACTTCTCTTAAGGTAAAGGTAGTTTTCTATTTGGGTCTCTTTCATGTAAAGCCAACCCTGGTTCTGTGTGTAACTTACTATCTTTTCCCTATAGTCCCATTAAGAATGCAATATTATTTTTAAAAGAAACACTACTAAGTACTTTAAATATGTTGAAAAATAGGACCAATATAGAGTTCGGACGTAGGTTCAGCCCTGGAAATGGGTCTTTCATAAGTGAAGATGAACTAGAAAATGACTTTCACACTTTTATTAATGTTCTTCAATTTAATACTAATGTGACAAGTATGATCAATTAGGCCTAGTTAAATAACATTTCATTCTGTCTTACTATGTTTTTATACAAAATGCTTTAGGAGAACGTTTTAATAAAACACTCTGTATCAAACGTTAACTTTCTAAGTATATACCTTATAGTTCTTAGCATTAAAGGTATCCTTTTATTCTGAGCATAAAAGTAAAGGAATCCTATTACCCAAAGACACAGTTTGGATTCTATTTCTTTAAACCACTATCATTTTTGCTACTCAATACTGCCAAAATTCAGTGAAAAGGCAAGTTAAAAAAGAAGCAATGCTTCATTTGCTTCCTAACAGAGGTTCATTCCATTAGGCACTCGGTGGCTATTCTTTTTTCACTGAAAGAATAAACCTCCACTTACCCTTTCTCTGTGACTACTTCTGTCCCAATATTTGGGTCGCATATAATCTGAAAAACTTAAATAACAAATTTAGTTTTTAAAAAATGTAAATTCAAGAAATCCCTATTTAATCCAATCTAATATGCACAGATATTTAAATTTCCCTGCAGAATAATTTTTTTAAAGCAATATTGTACTGAATTCTCAATTCAAGATTCTATTTATATAAACACCCTAAATTAACTGCCATCTTTGAGATGTAGAATTTCTTACAACATATTATGTGCAAAATAACTCTTAACCACAAAATTTAAACAACTGCTGCATTCAAAATCAAGCAACATCCAATACTCCAGCAGCCACAAGTTGCCGTGAGAGCCAGTCCAACCCTTCATACAGTCCCATACCACTTCGAGCATCACATCCCTGAATATACCAACTACGGCCACAGCACAATTTATGCAGACTGAGAAGTTCGGTGATTTCTTCTACTGAAAGTGCTCCAGCAACATCCTGAAAGATATATACACATCATAAACTTGTATCAGTCCATTCAAATTATCATTCTGCTAATTATTACTATTTCTATAGACATCTGTTGACATCCTTCTAACAGAAGCCTAAACAAAAGTGAACCCCAAATTCACCTTTCAATAATTACTCTGAGATTAATAAGAATAGAAAAATTAGAGTTTTGGTTAAAATTATTTTATATATATGGAGGCAGTAGTGGTTCAGCGATAGAATTCTCGCCTTGCATGCAGGAGACCTGGGTTTGACTCCTGGCCAATGCACCTCATGCACAGTGACCACTTGGCTGTCAGTGGAGGCTTGCGTGTTGCTATGATGCTGAACAGGTTTCAACAGAGCTTTCAGACTAAGAGGGACTAGGAAGAAAGGCCTGGCAATCCATTTCTGAAAATCAGCCAGAGGAAAACTTATGGATCACAGCAGTCCGATGCACAACCAATCATGCAGATGGTGAAGAACCAGGCAATGTTTTATTCTGTTGTGCATGGGGTTGCCATAAGTTGCAGGATCAGCTCAGTGGCAGCTAACAACATATAAAACAAACTTATTTATTCTGTAAGAATAGCCTTACAATGAAATCAACAAAGGCCATGCAACCTGGACGGAAGATACTGCCCGAGTCATAATAAGATAGCAACTTAAAAAATAAAAAGACATTAACACATGCATACCATAAAACATGGTTTATATGTAGGGTTTATATAATGAAGAGCTCATTTCTCTCTCACCTCAGACACTCCTACTTCCCAGAAGCAACCACCAGTAGCAATTTTTAACATTTTTTCCAGAGATTTTCCATGCACATTCATGCAAACAAACACAAACAGGAGCATACTCTAGACTGTTTTGAATCTTACAGTTTCCAGAGTTTTTTTTTTTAATTTACCTACACATTTTGAAAATAGAGATCTTTACATTATCAGCACAATCGGATTTTCCACATTATTTTTAACATCTAAATTGCATTCTGTTGTATTATGTACCAAATTGACAGTTGGCACACATAAGTCATATGCTTATGTCATTACAAATCTACCTACTTATCTATCTACCCTCTAGTAATGTATCCTGCAGACAAAAATCCTAAAACCTTACCGTACAGATCATTTTGCAAATGTATGTAAAGATATATATCTTTCTATATCTACTCTGTTCAGTCAGATATTTAATTTTTCCACAAAATAATTTTCAGAATAATTTTAAAGCAATATTATACTGAATTCCTAATCTAAGATTCCTTTTACTTATGCATCCTAAATTAATGACCACCTTTAAGATGTAGAAGTTCCTACAACATATGGGCAACATACCTCTTAACCACAAAACTTTAAACAACCGCCTTTAAAATCAAGCAACATCCAATACTCCAGCAGCCACAAGATTTGCAAAATGACTGGTAGGATAACCTTAGAATATTGGTCTGCAGGATACATTACTAGAGGTAAAATTGCAAGGTAAAAAGAGCATGTGCAATACGAACTATAAGTAACAATGCACAAATACCAGAAGAGAAACTAGATAACTGGGAGCTCCTGAAAATCAAACACTTACGCTCATCAAAAGACTTCACCAAAAGAGTAAAAAGACAACCTACAGACTGGTAAAAAATTTTTGGCTACAGCAAATCCAATCAGCGTCTAATCTCTAAAATCTACAAGATACTGCAAAATCTCAACAAAAAAAGACAAATAACCCAATTAAAAAACGGGCAAAGGATGTGAACAGGCACTTCACCAAAGAAGATATTCAGGCAGCTAACATGAAGAAATGTTCACAATCATTAGCCATTAGAGAAATGCAAATCAAAACTACAATGAGATACCATCTCACCCCAACAAGGCTAGGATTAATCCAAAAAACACAAAATAATAAACGTTGAAGAGGTTGTGGAGAGACTGGAACACTTATACACTGTTGGTGGGAATGTAAAATGGTACAACCACTTTGGAAATCAATTTCGCACTTCCTTAAAAAGCTAGAAATAGAAGTACCATATGATCCAGCAATCCCACTCCGTGGAATATATCCTAGAGAAATAAGAGCTGTCACATGAATAGATACATGCACACCCATGTTCCTTGTAGCACTGTTCACGATAGCGAAAAGATGGAAACAACCTAGGTGCCCGTCAATGGACGAACAGAAAACAAATTATGGTATATTCACCAATGGAATACTATGCAACGATAAAGAACAATGATGAAGCCGTGAAACATAACATGGAGGAACCTGGAAGGCATTATGCTGAGTGAATTTAGTCAGTCACAAAAGGACAAATATTGTATAAGACCACTATTATAAGCACTCAAGAAAAGGTTTAAACCAGAAGAAAACATTCTTTGATGGTTACAAGGGTGGGGAGGGAGGGAGAGGAGTATTCGCTAACTAGATAGTAGACAAGAATTATCTTAGGTGAAGGGAAGGACAGCACACACTACAGGGAAGACAGCACAACCAGACTAAACCAAAGCTAAGAAGTTTCCTGAATATAACCAAACACTTTGAGGGACAGAATAGCAGGAGCAGGAGTCTGGGGACCATGATTTCAGGGGACATTGAGGTCAACTGGCATAACAAAGCTTATTAAGAAAATGTTCTGCATCCTACTTTGGTGAGTGGCGTCTGGGGTCTTAAAAGGTAGCGAGCAGCCATCTAAGATGCATCAACTAGTCCCAACCCACCTGGAGTAAAGGAGAATGAAGAACACCAAAGACACAAGGAAAGTAATAGCCCAAGAGACAGAAAGGGCTACATAAACCAGAGACTTCATCAGCCTGAGACCAGAAGAACTAGATGGTGGCCAGCTACCACCAATGACTGCCCTGACAGGGAACACAACAGAGTCCCTGATGGAGCAGGAGAACAGTGGTGTGCAGAACTCAAATTCCAGTAAAAAGACCAGACTTAATGGTCTGACTGAGTCTGGAGGAACCCCAGAAAGTATGGCCCCTGGACTCTCTGTCAACCCAGATCTAAAACCATCCCCAAGGCCAAGTCTTCAGACAAAGATTAGACTGGACTGTGGGACATAAAATGACACTCATAAAGAGTGTGCTTCTTAGCTCAAGTAGATACATGAGACTAAACGGGCAGCTCCTCTATTTCACTTAAAAGCATCCGCATCCTCCTAGCAGCTTAGGCTCAAGATCTAGGCATCTTCAGCTACTCCTTGTACTTCATCTTCCCAAATCACCAAATTCTAACAATTCTACCTCCACAAAATCTCTTTAATCTGCTTCCACCTTTCTGCTCCTTTAATTTAGGATCTCATTACCTCTCTCTTTGGGATTATTTCAGCAATTTACTGCATCTCCCTGTTTCTGGTCCCTTGCCTCTCTGATTCATTCTGTGTAGATCCCACTCCAGAATTACAGTCTTAAAATACTGATATGATCTTATCACCCGCTAGTCCAAAATCATTCTTACGACTCTGCTTTGCTTATCAAATAAAACCTAAGTTTTTCAGGCCTTCGCAATTTGGCCTTATGTGTTGTTCTAGATTTTCTTTTTCATCCTCCTACCCTACCCCTCAGAGAAGCCTGGGTGGTCCAAGCAGTTTGCAATCAGCTGCTAACCTAAAGGTTGGCAGTTCGAACCCATCCAGCGGCTCCACAGAACAAAGGTCTGGCGAACTGCTTCCGTAAAGATGACAGCCAAGAAAAACCTATGATGCAGTTCTTCTCTGACACACATGGAGTCGCCATGAGTCAGAACTGGCTCAACAATGGGTTTTACCTAGCCCTCACATATAGATCTGCCTGGTACTCCCTAAAAACATTCATGAAATTATTTTCACTGTCTGTAATGTCCTTTCCTTCACATATTGACCCAAAGTCTTATCCATAATTCAACATTCAACTCAAATCCTGCTCTGTACAAATTTTATAAGCTGCCACCTTTGGAACTACTCTCTCTCCTAATTTCCCATAACACTTTGTTAATACTATTGAAGTTACTTACCAGTCTTCTTTGTACTACAATCTCATATATATTCACATATACACAGGAGCTTTTGGTAAGCATCAATTACCTTATTCTTTTTGCATACCCCAAGGTACCCAGCACAGCACTTTCTACATAAAATGAACTAAAAAAACACAGCAGAACCTTCAGAAAAATCTACTGAATTTATTCTCTGTTGAAGTCTCTCCAGCTACCGTATGACATGGGAGGCACAAAACTATTAAAATAAGTATTCTGAGATACAAATGTATTACCTGTTTGTTAGCAAAAATCAGGAGCAAAGCATCTCGAAGTTCTTTTTCCGTTAACAACTTTGCAAGTTCACTGTGTGCTTCACTAACTCTGTCTCTATGACTGCTATCAACAACAAATACAACAGCTACCAAAAAGAAAAAAAAATTCAATTACTCCCTTAAGTTTCAGTAAATGGACCGAATATTTTAATGTTCTCATTATTATGTTTAGAGTTTGTCTACTATTACTATTTTTGCTTAAAGGCTGTGCAATGCAATTGATTACTTTTGTGTGGCCTTTCTGGTCATGGTCTTGTAATTCCCACTCAGGTGACTGGGCAGGACTGCGTGATAGGGTAATTGTGGCCCACTAAGGGGATTGGTCAGTTTTGCCTTAAAAGAGAGCCAATTCCAGAGCACAGAAGAGCCCACCACCACCAAGGAAGGAGAGACCTGGCAGCAGGAGATTGCGCAGTGGGCTTCCCAGCCCACGGGGAGAGAAAGCTAAATGCCTTTGGGCAGAGACTGAGGGCCAGGGAGAGGCGTGCCTGCAAGTACAGCTGGAAAGAGGGTATCCTGATGGAAGACCTGTATCCTGAGTGTTCTTCAGCCTGAATTGTAACTGTTACTTCCTTAATAAACCTTATAATCTTGAGTATGGTCTGTGAGTTCTCTGTGGCCATTGCAAAGAATTATCGAACCCAGTAGAGAGTGCTGTGGGAGGGACGGTTGGTGTCAGAATTGGTAAAGACGGTGGAGAGAGGAAGGAAGTTTCATCTCCACCTCAAAGGAATCAACAGCTGATTGGGCTGTTGATCTTGGTTCTCCTTCTCCCTTGTGAAGTTAGAGGAGGTCAGACTCTACCCCCTCAATGTTTTTTACAGGCTGCCTAGTATTGTAGGGGCACCTAGCAATAACGAAAGGAAGAACTGTATGTTTACCTATTTATACCACTAATTAATGGTATGACCTCGAGTTAAGTTCACACATAACTTCTCAGCTTTAGTTTCTCCATCTAGAACAAGGATTTACAATACTTGCTCTACCAAACACAAGCTGATATACAATTAATATTTTTTTTCTTAGTGAATGAAAACATGCCTCTTATGATCTTCTACCTACTGATGCTACTTGTTCTTTGGATACTACTTCCTTTACCAAAAGATAGTCTTTAAAAAAAAAAAATCACCATCTTTATCTCTCCAAAGTATTCTCTCTAGGCTAAACATTCCCAGCTCTTTCAAACATTCCTCATATTCAGGACTACATTTTTTTTCCCATTAATCACAGCTCATACTGAACTTAATATCAAAAATCCAAAAGGAGAAATAATTACCTAGTCTCTCATCTAGGTGAAAGATGGGATGATATGTAGAACAGCTGTCATGAACATAAGCTTCACATTAGGGTGTATGTAGTAGACAAAGGTGTAGGAATGGGGCCTGTGGTGGTTAAGGTTGTGTGTCAACTTGGTCAGGCCATGGTTCTCAGTGGTTTGGCAGTTATGTAATGATGTAGTTTGGCAGTTGTGTAATGATTTAGTCATCCTCCATGATGTCATCTGACATGATCAGCCAATCAGTTGTAAGGTAGTTTCCTCAGGGGTATGGCCTGCATCTAATATATACATGGATGTTCTGGCAAAGCTTGCTTGCTTGCTCTAGATCCTAGATCCAGCTCATCATCATCTGACCTCCAGTTCTTGGGACTTGAGCTAGCAGCCTGCTGTCTTACCTGCCTATCTTGGGATTCATCAACCTCCACAGCCTGTGAGCCAGCAGCCTGTCATCTTACCCGTCAATCTTGTATTTGTCAGCCTCTGCAGCCCATGAGCCAACAGCCTGCCATCTGATCTGCCAATCTTGGGTTTGTTAGCCCCTGCAGCTATGTGAGTCAGGAGAAGCTTCCAACCTCACACCTGACCCATGGACTTGGGACTTGCCAGCCCCTAAAACTGTCTAAGCCATTTCCTTAAGATAAATCTCTCTCTCTATATATATATATACACACATATATGCTTCACTGGTTTTCTTCTCTATAGAACCCAGCCTAAGCCCAAATGTGAATATCCTAAAAGCTAGGTGAAGTATATGTGATATAATGTGGTTTGGTCAAAAGCAAGCCACTGTAGGTTCTTCTGCAGATAATAGCCATTTGTGAATGGAAATGAGGAGTAGGGCTACTCAGATATTATAATAAGTAAATGTGTAGTCAACTGAGCAGCAGAACCATACACTACAAATTCAACTCTGTACACTACAATCTTGCCAGTGATCATACCCATATGACCACTAATAATATACTTTTAACTGTCAAGAGGTAAGTACTCTTGACTGCCTACATATCTAAGTATAGTTTTTATGCTGTAGTCATGGTTTTATCATGAAATAAACTAAAAGTACACTGTCTAGTCTTTCCACCTTCATTTTTTTTAAAAATATGGGGTTACCCACTGATATTCAAATGTATAGTCAAGTTATGTCTAATCAATGTTCAAGTATCAGCTTTACTAGTTAAATCAGTGTACTAAAAACTGGCATTCTAAAAATCAGAAAAATTGAGATATCCTTTTTCAGTATTACCTTGAGTATTGAGATAATAATGTTTCCACAATGGTCTTAATTTGTGTTTTCCACCTACATCCCAAATAGTGAATTTTAGATTTTTATATTCTACGGTTTCCACGTTGAAACCTGTTGAAAAACAAAAGTTATTTTATACTACACTCATATTTACAATTAGTGACACACCAAACACAGGCAACCCCATTTATAATTTTAACTTAAAAGTTATCTACATACAGCAATTTCTAATGCTGCCCAACCAACTCCACTCTTAATAAACCTATAATAGGGAATTTATACCTTTAACAGCTGCTAGTCCTCTAAACTTCCACCAGGGTTTTTAGGGCCTTGAAAGCCAAGTACCTGCCTGCTTGGCACCACTAAAACCCTCTTACCCCCAACCCTCGACTAGGTTCACTAATCCTCTATTCCTTCCTACTATCCTACCAATACTAGGTTCCTTCTTACTATCCTACTATCCACATTTCAATCACAAAGCCACTAAATCTTGAATTTTTTCTCTTAAATGCTGGTGTCTTACAGCCAGGAAAGAGTCCACCTCCGTGCCATACCTGTAGCAAATAACACCCTGAGAACTCATCTGTAAGCTAGGGTATGTCTATAAAGAGTCCATTAAGTTAAAAACCAATACTCATACGTACCAATTGTTGGAATGGGCTGCATGAACTCATCCTGTTTTAACTTAAACAAAATAGTAGTTTTTCCAGCACCATCTAATCCTAATGTGACAACTCGAATTTCCATTTTTGGTCCAATGTGAACTCTATTGTCCTATAATTTAAAATTTTTTAAAAATCTTGTTATTTTGATATACAGTTTAGAAATATCATCATTTTTACTTTTCTCTTCATTGATAAAATACCTTCATTAATTATTTCCTCACATCCTATTCATTCTTCATTGTACTGCAATATGAACTGTATTCCCCCAAATCCCCAGAATCCAATCTTCTCAGAGAGACAAACACCTCCCCATTGTGAAATCTCTCCTTAGTATAACTGACATTTTGTCTTTTAATAAAAATATACATCCACTTAATTTTCCCAAATTTTCTATCTCAACAAAATCTTCTCAGAAGAAGTTTTTATACTGTACTAAAAAACTCAAATGAGACCCTTATACCTGAGGATGGTGAGCAGAAGCAAGAGACAGAGTATTCATTGTATACATATTTATTCTCATCCTTTCAAAATTCCACCAATCCTACTTACATTTAGTAATGTAGCTGTCTGTTTCTCCCATATTTATGAATTCTTTCAGGGCTGAAATAGCCTATTCCCAGTGATACAGTGTTTTGCACAGAGATGCATATATGGATGATAAGAAATGGCTCTTACCATTTCATTGCTAACGTTTGATTTTAGAAAAAAAAATACTGAAGATCTACAAAGATGTGGTGAAACCCATGTGAAATCGTGCACTAAAGATTAGGAAGTAAACACAATTAAGCCTGTGTGTACCTTGCTCACTGGTTAATCCACCCCTGCCCTGATTGCAGGACCTTCTTACACTTATATATTATGCTACAGATAAGAACCACTACAATTCATAAGACTACCCCAAAATATTTCTCATCCATGAAACTGACAGAATTCCATAACCTACCTGGACAAGGTACTCTGTTGGCTAGACTGTGGAGAAACATATACTTTTAAACATTGCTAATGAAAATACAAAAGGGTACAACCCTATAAAAGGGAACTGGCAATATTTAACAAAACTACAAATACATTTACTCTTTAATCCAGCAATCCCACTTGTATGGAATGTATTCCATACAGATTCTGTATTCATACAGATTCACTGACAAAAGACTAGAAAGACATATGGACAAGGCTATCACAGTACTATTTCTAATAGCAAAAGACTAAAACAAATGTCCATCAATACAGGACTGGTTGAATAAAATATGGCACATCCTCACAACAGAGGACTTTGAAGCTGTCAAAAGGAATAGAACATCTCTCTTTAAACTTCTACGGCATGATCTCTAGAATGAAGAGTTAAAGTGAAAACAGCAAGGTGGGAGAAAAGTGTGTAAGGTATGCTAGCTTTAAATGTGGGAAGTGTGGATACAAATATGTAAACATATTTATATTTTTGAAAATATAAGACTAAAACTAATAAAAAATTCTAAATGTGCTTCTGTGGGGTAGGGAGGAAAAAGGGTGGACAGGATAGGGATAGAAGCTAGACTTCTCTGAATGTACTTTGCTTTTTGTAAGTTTGACTCCGGATCATGTAAATGTTTTTCGTAATCATCAAAAAAAAAAAAATTCCTAAATACAAAAGCAAAATAAAACACATGAACCTTTTCTAAAATTAGGAGAAGCTACTTTAAAAGCGACAATATATATTATATCAACCAAATACTATGTATGGATCTTGTTTGGACTGACAACCAAAATACCATTATCACACCTAAAAAATTTATTAATAAATCTCTAATATTAACCAGTATCTAGATTTATTATTAAATTTTTTAGGTGTGATAATGGTATTTTGATTAATTTTTTAAAAGAATTCTTGTATTTTTGAGATACACACTAAAATATTTCATAGATGAAATGACATGCTATCTGAGATTTGCTTCAAAATACCTAAGGTATGGGGGGTAAAATGTAGAGTAGGGAAAAGAGGAGTTGAAACAAGATGTTTGTCATGTTTAAGTTGGGTTGCAGAGAGACTCGTTATACCATTCTTTCTGTTTTTCCACTTGATTTAGAATATTGGAGCCATTATTCCTTGTCCTAGAATGTGACAGCACAAATGACCCACATATTTTCCACTCTTACCTTCTTCTATTAGCATTTAGTGAATAGCAAGATTTGTTGGACCAATAAGGACTCTCATAACTGTCCTTACTGAAACCTGTGCCAATGATTATTAAGAAAGACAATTCAAAAGGTAGAATCACAGAGATTTAGCAATTTCTAGCCAATCGTGAAAAGGTGGACCTTTCAATGGTTTTGCCCATTTGTAACGTTAACATATACTGATGATTCTGTTAATGTCCTTCCTACTCAGACAGATATGGCTCTGGCAGCATGGTTGTCCATTTTCCCACTCTTATGTATTCTGTAATATTCCTGGACTCAGGCAGACATGGCTTTGGCAGCATGCTTGCCTGTTTCCTACTTTTGCCTCTTTGAACACATGCTGAATAAAACCTTTCTTTCTGCTTTACTAAACTTTGTGATGTTTTTACCCTAGAACACACTGATAAAAGTTTTTAAAAATCTAGTAATTCATGAATTACCTAGTTGTCTCTTCAAGGTAATTGTCACAGATGTAAATCAATTATGATCTGTCAGAAAGCATAACTAAAAATGAAGTACATACAGTACATTACCTTCGTAAAAGTAACAGGGATGCTGGCATCCAACTGAATGTGATCTGCAACCTCTGTAAACTGCTGCTGCTGTTTCTGCAATGTTTCCAGTAATCGTGTAATTTCTTGTTTTGCCAAAACAACTCGACAATCATCCTAGAGAAGATAGTATTTCTCATAAACTTTTTGTTAAAAAAATAAGGAAAAAAAGAGACAAATCACACAAACATAATAAAAACCCATTTAATATTACAGCATTCAAAATTAAATGTAAAGCTGACTAACAGAAATAATTGGACATTCATAATTCAACGGCCTGTCAACAGAAGAATGGATAAATAAATTGTGGTGTATTCACACAATGAAACACTATACCACAATGAGAATGAACCACAACTACATGTGATGTTATGAATTTCACAAATATAATGTTGAGCAAAAGAAGACAGACATGAAGGGTTTGTATTATATGATTCCATTTATGTTAATAAACAAAACAGGTAAAAATAAGATATGCATTAGAAGTCAGGATAGTAGATCACCCTTGTGGCAGAGAGCAGCTAATGATGAGAGCATGAGGTGGGCTTCTGGAGTGCTGATAATGTTTTGTTACTTGATCTGGGTGCTGGTTACACAGCAATGGCCAGTCTGAACACTCAGTCAACTGAATACTATGCAAACATTTCTGTATATATGCAATGTTTCTATATAAAGTTTTAAAAATAAGATATCTATGCGCTAATTAACAAAAAAAGGCCTAAAGGTCAAACTGTGGAAGTCTCCCTCACATTCGAGATCCTAGGCCTTCTCCTCAAGCTGAGTGCTTTCCCATTTCTTGAATATTATTTCAGAGATATTCTATGCATACACCAATACATTCTTCATATGAAAGAGATCCCTGAACAGTAGGTAAGCTCCATGAGAGAAGTTGTATTGTCTGTTTTTGGTCACTGTTCAACACTTATATTAGTTGAGAGCAATTCCATTGTTTCAGTTGCTCAGGACCAAACTCTTGAAGTCATTCTCGCCTTCTCTCTCCCTCCTATCTCACATACAATCTGTCAACAAATCCTACTGGTTACACAGAATCTGGCCACGTCTAGCCCCCATTATTCAAGCCACTATTATCTCTCACCTGGAATTCTAAAACAGCCACCTGTTGAACTCCTTCCTTTTATCGTTGCCCCATTCAGTCTATTTTTCACACATTAGAGTGATCAAGTCATTCTTCTGCTCAAAACTCCCCATTTCAATCAGTAAAAGCTGAAGTCCTTACAATGGTCCATAGGGCCTTACACATAGTTGCCTGTTACTCTTTCTCTCTCTCATTTACTCTACTCCAGCCACAGGGGCTCTTTTGCTGTTCCTTGAACATACCAGGCAGCAGCCCTAAGGATTTTGCTCTAACCATTTCCTCACCTGGAATATTCTTCCCCCACATCAGAGCTTGAACTAATTCCTTCATCTTCTTCAAGTCTCTGCTCAAATCTCACCTTCTATCAATGACGCTTACCTTAACCACTCTAATAATGTAATCTGCTATACCCTTGAACATTTTCTTTTCTTCTAAGCTTATAACCTTCTAACATACTACGTAATTTACTTAGATATGGCTATGGTTTATTGTCTTCTCCTTGCTAGAATGCTAATTCCACAAGATTACAGCTTTTTGTCTGTTTTGTTCACTGGTATACGCTGTGTACCTCAAATGCACATGGCACACAATACACATCCAATAAATATTTGCTTAAAGAATCAACAAATCCTCGGCACCCAGCATCATGCCGAGAACAAAACTTAATTATACTCCCTTCCAAAAAATTATGCATCTTCAAGTTTTGTTCTCAAAAGTGGTAATAAATTTTTGATGTTCCATCAATTTTTCTGTTCTCTGTGGCACGAACTTTTAAGAACACTGGTTGGGGTTAAGGTTCTGTAGCCATAAAAATAGAACTAATAGGTCCTTAAAGAGTATGAAGCCAGTATCCTGATTTCATTTGCAGAAACATACTGACATAATCAACATCATTAACATTAACAACTACTAGTCACTTCAACACAATGCTTCAGAAACTCCAAAATATTTTTAAATATTACAGTAAATATGAACATATTTTTTCATAAAATAAATATAAAAATACTTTTAAGTATTCAAGTACAAATGACTTAGGACATGATTTAGTTCTAATTTTGCTCTGTACCCTGATTACCAATGAGTTGAACAAGTATTTATTAAGCTCTTTCAATCTAAATACAAAGAATCTAGAGATACAAAGGAGGAACAAGAATTATCCTGTCACCAACTAGAAGGACAAATATGTGTATCATTCAGGATCAAATTAGAAGACAAAAACCACACCATATATTTGAACAGAAAGAATGTAATATAAAATACTGTTAACCAGGTATAATCATTAACTAGATAACTGAAAGGCTAAAGAGAACTCTGAAGCACCATGGTGGTAGCAACTGTAGGAAACAGCTACCACCTCAGGGCTGAGGAAATAAAGAGAAGAGATGAGAATTATTAAAACTTAGAAACTTACAGGAGGGGCCCCATGGAGATGAAACTCAGACCTCCTAAAGACCTCTCCTCAGGTGAGGAGTGACACTCACAGAAACCCCAAGCAAAAGGAAGCCCACAGGAAGCAAATAGGAAGCCTCCTTCCAACTTCCAGCCTCCCTTTAGTGCCGTCTACTGGCAGAGGCTAACATGGAATCAAATGGTAAAGCAGATACATAGTCTGTAGAGTTCCAGCCCCAGCATCGTAAAGCAGAGAATAGAAGAGTAGGATTCGAACTGAAGACAACTCAAGAAATGGCATACACACCAACTGTTATAATGCAATGTGATAAGGACTATAGGACAATTCAAAACTGATGTGGCTGGCCATACTCACATAAGTCTAATTAAATATTCAATAAGAGATAAAGCTCTACAATGGCAAAAGGGTTAGCTGTACAATGACTTAAAATCAACACAGTTATAATTAGCAGTATATCAGTAAAGGTAAGATAGACTGCAGCTTATCTGAAATTCCTAGGGCAGTAATTATCTTATATCCCTTACTTATGAAAGCAGACCATAAATATAAGTAAAACTAAAATTTTTGTTAGAATAATCTTCAATCTAATTTATTTAAAAAGTAACTCATCTGCACCTAAATATAAGAACTAAAACCACAAAACTCTTAGAAGAAAACATAAGCGTAAAACTTCAAGACCTTGTTTTTGACGATGGTTTCTTAGATATGACATTAAAAGCACAAACAACAAAAGACAAAATAGGTAAATTGGACTTAATCAAAATTAAAGACTTTTGTGCATCAAAGGACTTTATTAATAAAGTGAAAAGACAACCTATAGAATGGGAGAAACTATTTGGGAACCATATATCTGATAAGGGTTTAGTATCCTGAATATATAAAGAACTCCTACAACTCAATAACTAAAAGATAACCAATCCAGTTAAAGTACAGGCAAAGGACTTGAACAGACATGTCACCAAAGAAGATGTACAGATGGCCAACAAGCATATGAAAAGATGTTCAATAACATTAGTCATTAAAGAAATGCAAATCATACACTACAATGACATACCACTTAACACCCACAGGAATGGCTATTCCGGGGGGTGGGGGGCAATGGAACTAACAAGCGCTAGCAAGGATGTAGAGAAACTGGAACCCTTGTGCATTGCTGGTAGGAATGTAAAAATGGTGCAGCCACTGTAAAAACAGTTTGGTGATTTCTCCAAAAGTCAAACATAGAATGACATATGACCCAACAATTCCACTCCTAGGTATATACAACATACCCAAAATACTTAGAGCAGGGGCTCAGACAGATACATGTATACCGATGTTCATTGCAGCATTACTCACAATAGCCAAAAGATAGAAACAACCCAAATGTCCATCAACAGAATGTGATATCTATACATAATGGAATATTATTCTGTCATAAAAAGGAATACAGTTCTAATACATGCTACAACATGGATGAGCTTTGAAAAAATGATGCTGAGTGAAATAAGTCGGACACAAAAGGACAAATATTTATGATCCCATTTATACGAAATACCTAGAATAGGCAAATGCATAGAGACAAAAGTTTATTACTGGTTACCAGGGGCTAAGGGGAAGTGGGGATGAGGTACTGAGCTTCTGTTTGAGGTGAGGAAAAAGTTTTGGAAATAGACGGTGGTAACGGTAGCACAAATGGGGAAAGTAATTCATGTCACTGAATTGTACATTTAAAAATGGTTAAAATAGCAATTTTTTGGTATATATATTTTATCACAATGATTTTTTTTTAAAGTAAATATCTATAATCTAGGTAACAAATTGCTTATGATACCTGAACCATACCTGTGACATGAAAGTTAAGAACCATCGAATTAGAGTAGAGCTCGGTGTTTCTTTTGCATGTAAAGAGACACCCAAAAAAGCAAGGAAGAGAGAGCTTCAAAGAAGAGCAAACATTTGAGCCGGACTTTAAGCAAAAAGGAGGACTTCTACCATCAGAAGAGAGATATAGCACTGCAAGCAAAAAGAATACTACATTCTTGGCAAAGAATAGTAAAAGGCTTGGCATGACTGAAGAATGACAAGAAGTTAGAGGGCTTCTGGAACACTTGGTTTTATGGTTGGGAAAGCATATGAAGGAGAGGACACTGATATGGTTGGTGGAGCAATTCGAGGTCAGAGACCAAGTCCTAAGCACAAAGCTAACGCACGCGGTAGACACTAAATATTTATTAAATTAATAAGATAGACTAGTGTGTACCTCCTCTAGTTAAATAATCTTACAAATCCTCTTTCCTTAATCATGTTTAAATTATGTTTAAACTATCTACCTGCTGCAAAGTCTTTTCACAATGGAGACAGGCTGTTGAAACCTGGGACAACAAAATAGTCATATCTTCTTGCTGCTGCCTGAGCCAAATAAGTTTTTCTCGAACATGGGCATCAACAACACTTAAAGCCATTTCTTCTTGACGACAAAGAGTTTCATGTAGATCAGAAAAATAAGCTCGGACACATGACCGGGCATTCTCCGCAGTACCTGGAACCTAAAGAAATAAAAATAAGTTTTAAACAATTATAAACTCAAGGAAGATTTTACATATGAAATACTGAATATTTAAATACTATCTATATCCTCATAAATTCCAAAATTTATATCTCCACACTAGGCCTTTCCTCTCAATGCCAGACTTTGTATATCCAACTGCTTAACTGACATCTCAAGCAAAATGGAATACCTAATCTCTAGTCTCCCCAACCCCAAACTCAGTTTCCTCCATCTCAGTAAATGACAACTACATCCTCCTGGTTGTTCAGGCCAAAAATGTTGGAGTCATCCTTAACATCTCTCTTTCATATCCCATATCTAGTCCCTCAGCAAATTCTGTTGACTTCAAAATATATCCAGACTCTGATCATGCCCCACCACCTCCACTTCTACCAACCTGATTAAAGATATCACCATCTTTCACTTGATAATTATAGTTGTCTTCTAACTGGTCTTGCTCCATCTATTCCTTCCCCTTATAGTGTATTCTCCACACTGTAGCCAGAATGATCCTTTTTAAATGTTAAGTCAGAAAGATAATGTTATTCTTTTGCTCAAAAGTCTCCAATGGTTTCCCATTCTACTCAATGTAAATGTGAAAGTCCTTTATCTGGGGTTTTCAAGGACAGACTCCCTGAGAAGGGGACATTTGGGCAAAGACCCGAAGGAGGTAAAAGAGGGAACCATGTGAATATCTGGAGGAAGAACATTCTATGCAGAGAAGTGTTACATAACTATAAGGCCCTTTCTGACCTCAACTCTGCTATCCTTCCTCTCAGTCACTCTGCTCTACTGACACTTAGCCTCCCTACAGTTTCTTGAACACACCAGCCACACTCCAACTTCAGGGACTTTGTGCTTGCTCTTCTCTCTGAATTTTATGTGGGAAGCATTACCTTTCCCTTGTTTATTTTCCTCCAAAGCATTTAAGATATTTCTGCCACGGTGTTTTACTTATTCTGTCTCTCCGCACATTCGAATGTAAACTCCTCAAAGGCAAGGAGTTTTGTCTAGCTTGTACAATGGTGTCTCCCCAGCCCCTGGAACACTGTGAAACACCTGGTGTATGTTCAATGAATATTTACTGAGGGAATGAACGAGATATTTACACTCTAGCACAACAATGCCCAGCATAAATTTTTGTGAAGAGGACATACTCTGTATCTATGCTGTCTACTAACCACATGTGCCTATTGAGCATGTAAAACATGGATAGTAAGACTGAGTAACTAAATTTTGTATTTTAATTTTTAACTAATTTAAATTTAAATATTAGACAGAGAAGTCCAGTATTATTCCTCAGTGACTTAGCTTTAAAGGTTTTAGTTATCAGAGAAAATATATTTTGGCTGTTTCTGTATTTTATATTCCCATCTGAAGAGATTTCTTTCTTCTCTATAATTTAATTTTAAAAAGCAACTATAGTTACCACCCTAGTTCCTTCCTCCCCTCACAGCCAAGCTTCTTAAAAATTAGATACATTCACTTCTCAAATCCCACTCATTCTGCAATATACTTGATTATTCCACAGGAATAATAAATTTAAACTTCCAAATTAAACTTACCATCTTACTCCCATTATCCCCTTCCAAAACTCCTCCTCTTCCCCTATTAGTGCATGATACCACCATCCACCCAGTTGGACAAGGTAGAAACTTGGGCATCATGCTTGACCCTCCAGTTACCTATCCAATCTAAATTTTAAATCAAGCACTAAGATCTACCTCTTCTACTTCTTTAAAACCTCAAATCCATCCACTTCTCCCCATTCTCAGTACCCTAGTATTTATAGACCATAAACATCTTTTAACCAGATTAACTTCAGAAACCTCCTAAAAGGCCTCCCTGCTTCCAATGTTTTTGCTCATCCAATTCATTTTCTACATTAAAGACTAACCTCCCTTAATGCAAATCTGATTATGTTATTCCTTTGTCAATTCTTCAATGGCTCCTCACTGCCCTTAAGATAAGGTTCAACCTCTTTAACATAAACAAAATCCTACATCATTTGGCCTTAACTCTCCAACTTCTTCTCTTGCTATGCCCACCCAATAGTCAAGGTTTCAACCATAGTGAATTTCTTTATTACAATATGTCCAATTCTCACTTCCACAGATTTCAACATATCCTTCCCTCTCTGGGATGACGTACTCCCCACCTCACTCTTCTCCCTGATTTAACAGCTTCAAATTTCAGTTTATGGCCAATAAGCACATAAAAAGATGATCAACATCATTATCATTAACCAACCAGCTGCCATTGAGTTGATTCCAACTCATGGCAACCCTGTGTGTGTCAGAGTAGAACTGTGCTCCATAGGGTTTTCAGGGTCTAATTTTTCAGAAGTAGATAGCCAGGCCATTCTTCTGAGGTGTCTCTTGATGGTCTCTAACCTCTAATCTTTGGGTTAGCAGCACAGCATGTTAACCATTTGCACCACCCCCGGGACTCCCATTAGTCATTAAAAAATGCACTGCCACTGAGTCAATTCCGACTCATAGCGACCCGATAGGACAGAGTAGAACTGTCCCATAGGGTTTCCAAAGCTGTAATCTTTACAAAAGCAGACTGCCACATCTTTCTCCCATGGAGCAGCTGGTAGGTTTGAACCAATGACCTTTCGGTTAGCAGCCAAATGTCACGACGCCACCAGGGGTTCTCATTAGTCATTAGTCACTAGGGAAATGCAAATCAAAACCACGATGAAAATCACATCATACCTACTAAGAATGCCATGATTAAAAAAATGGAAAACAATAGGTGTTGGTGAGAATGTGAGAAAATAGGAACCCTCATCCACTGCTGGTGGGACTGCAAAATGGTACAGCTGCCGTGGAAAACACTCTAGCAATTCCTCATAGTTAAACTCAGAATTACCATACAATCCAGCAATTCTACTTCTAGGTATATACCCAAACAACTGAAAGCAGGAACACAGATACATGTACGCCAATGTTCATTGCAGCACTACTCACAACAGCCAAAAGATGGAAACAACCTAAATATTGATCAACAGATGAATGGATAAACAGAATGTGGTACATACATACAATGAAATATTACTCAGTCATAAAGAGAAAATGAAGTCCTGATGTATGCTATAACATAGATGAACCTTGAAAACATCATGCTGAATGAAATTAAGTTACTGCCATCAAGTCAACTCTGACTCATGGCAACCCCATGTGTTACACAGTAGACCTACCTAAGGTTATCAGTGGTTGCCAGGGGTAAGAGTGAGTGAGGGTGGGAAAAGGGACTCACTTCTTAGGAAACACTGAGCATCTGTTAAGAGTGATAATGGTGATTGTTTTATAATGTGATAAACACAATTAATGTAACTAAATTGCACGTGTCGAATGTTTAAAAGGCAAATGTCTGGTTGCATATACGTATATACACACACACACACACACACACACACACACACATATATTTACAACAATTAAAAAAAAAATCTTAGTTTAGACATCACTTCTTCTAGGAAGACTGCCTTGACCTACCTAAATTGTTGCCCCTCTTACACGTTGCCAAGACATTCTATACTTCTTCCCCACAAAATAAACAGTTACTATACTTTAAACTGCCTCTCTTCCATGATGGAATGTAAATTCCATGAAGCCAGAGATTTTTTTTATAAACTTCTTTCCAGTGACTAACGCAGTACTGACACATTGTAATTGCTTAATAAATACTTCTTGGAAGAAGAAAGGATAAGAAAGAAAAGAAATAAGACGGTAAAGAAGGAAGAAAAAAATTCATACATGTTCCGTGTGGGCCATTCCAATTCCATCTTCCACTATTTGCTCTCCTCCTTCAATGTGCTGAACAATTCCAACTAATTTTCTTGAATAATCTGAGATTTCCTCAGTAAAGGTCCGTATGCAGTGAGCCATATCTAAAATTGATGCTCGGATCTGATTTGCTTCTGGTTCCAATACTGAATGCTATAAAATGCAATATAATTATAGAAAAGAACTGATAGTATTGACTAATGATATTTTAAAAAACTATTTAAATACCTATTTTAAAAAAGGCATCAGCCGGAAGTGGCTTTTATACTGCATTTAGAAAAAATATACCATAAGAAGGTAAAAAATACTAATTCCCCTTGAACCTTTCATAAGAAAATAATTTATCCTATAAAGAAATAATTTAAAATTTGGAAATCCACTTATCACTAGAAAAGAAACCAAGAGACTATTCTAAAGTTGCATAAGTAACAGTTCATCAACAGACATCAAGATAGTCAAAACAATACAGTACATTATTTAAACATGCACACAAAGAAAATGCTTGTTTCCTGCTAGACAGCTGTGTTTCAGTAAAAAATCATAGGCCTCTCTGAAATTTTTGTCCTGACATTCAGAAATTAAATCTTTCATTTTGTTTCATGCTACCAATTCCAAATTGTTCACCATTTAGCTCTTCTTCAATCCGTACTTGTAGCATAAAGAATGAGGGCAGTGAAAACAAACAGTAGGTAGGTAAAATAGCTAGTCATTTAATTTAATTAAAATCATACCTTGTGACCTTGGTGTTTTCCATATTCTTTGCAGACACAGCACATAAGTGGGCTAGCTTGACAACCTTCTTCCAAGCAAACAAACTCAATGGCATGCACCTGGTGCTGAGAGCACATGGTTTTCTCATGAGGCTTATCAGCCAGAGGCACACGCTTGTGCTTTGCTAACGTCTTTGTAGAGTGAGTAACTTGGGAACACTCTGAGCACAAGTGAGTTGCACATACAGTGCAGTATACAGATGCAACATGAGCTTCATCTTCATCACAACGAATGATGCTCTGACAAACAGAAGATTAATGTCTTAAAACTGAACACTAACCATTATAACATGTCATATTCTAAAATAGAAAAGTCTATAAACTTTTATCTTTTACTGACCAGCCTTAATACATAAAAATATAATGGTAACTAAGTACAAAGGTCATTCATTACACATCTGAGAAAGTGTTTATTTCCAAGACTGATTATCAATATATGCTATGAATTTGAGACCAAAGTTAAAACTATTTTCATAGAATCAGAGTCAGGGCAACGATATCATTCACCAAATTCTCTCACTTTATACATGAGGAACGAAACCACAGAGAGGTTAGAAGCCTTTATTTAAGACTAAAAAACTCTGATATTAAATATGTACCCACTGCTTTAAAATATTCATTCATTACTTATTCATTACTTGACATGATGATGTACAGGAATGAAAGAAGCACAAATGCAATTTAGATAACGGGGGTGGGGGAGTGGGGGTGTGTGCATCAGAATTAGCTGTAAAGCTTTTAAAAACACAAATGTCCAGACTCCAACCCAAGAAATTCTTATTACAATAGATTGTAGGTGAAGCCTGGGCATATATATTTTTTCTAAAGCTCCATGTGTAAGTCTATTGCACAATCGTCATTGAAAACCACTAATTTAAGCAAACAAACCAACAAAAATAATAATAAAACTATAGTATATATAAGCTTCTAAACATTATTTCTAATTTTCATGAATTATCAAATAGCATTTCAGGTGGTTAAAAAATCACGTCAGATAATCAAGAATACTTTGAAAACTTTTCCTGAATATTAAAAGTCAATAATTGGAAGGGAGAGCGTAGGTATAAATTTTTCCAGATATAAAATTTTTAAAAATATAACAATGGTATCATTCGACATCACATTAAATAAAAAATGAGCACAAACTGTGTAGGTACTGAAGTAACACCCCTATGTTTCTGTCTAAGAGTTTTATGGTTTTAGGTCTCCCGTTTAGATCCATTTTGAGTTAATTTGCATATACACTATGAGGTATAAGCCCAGCTTCATTCTTACGCATGTGGAGATCCAGTTGTTCTAGCACCATTTGTTAAAGGGATGATTTTTTTTCCCAATTACATGAGCTTAGCATCTTTGTCAAAATCAACTCACTGTATATGTGTGAGTTTATTTCTGGACTCTTCAATTATATTCCAACAGTCTATGTGTCTATTATTGTACCATTACCAGACTGTTTTCATTACTGTAGCTTTATCGTATGTTTGAAATCAGGAAGTGTGAGTTCTCCTGCTTTATCCTTTTTCAAGACAGCTTTGACTATTTGGGGCCCCTTGCATTTCCATATAAATTTGTTGTTGTTGTTAGGTGCCATCAAGTCGGTTCCGACTCACAGCAATTCTATGTACAACAGAATGAAACACTGCCCAGTTCTACGCCATCTTCACAATCGTTGCTATGTTTGAGCCCACTGTTGCAGCCACTATGTCAATCCATCTTGTTGAGGGTCTTCCTCTTTCGCTGACCCTCTATTTTACCAAGCATGATGTCCTTCTCCAGGGACT